TGCCAGAACTGCTGACCAGGAAGATGGGGCGTGTCTAGACCTGAGCTGCACTGGGCATTCACCATGGCAACAGGGAACAAGCCCAGTATAAAAGTCAAGTTGGCATGACAACCAAGGGATAGGTTCATCTATGCCTCAAGTGTCACAAGGAAGGCATGTTTTCTGATAGCCCAGCTCCCACAGCACCCTGGAGAGCTGAGCATCTGGGAGGAGTCTAGCTGGGACTCTTGGAAGAAATGGACTCGAGGTTTTTCACGGAGGGAGAAGCTGCTGAAGATGATCTGAGGGCCAAAGGAGGGTCTCTCTCACAAGCGGCAGGCATGGGTCTCGAGGCGGCAGCCTGGCCTCTAGTCCTGCTATACTAAGTTCCTGTGGAGGGCTTGGTTCATTTTCATGTTATATTCTGTAATTATATTTGACATGATCATCTGAACAGTGTGGTAGAATCTGAGGGGAAAGAAACCGCCTCACCTCGCCTCACCCTAGCCCCTTTGACCTGTTCCCAGACTACTCTTAGCCATTCCTATTGGTTTCTCAAGTCCCTTTTGTAAAAGCACTCCTGTCACTCTTTCCAGGCTTAGTGCTGGCCACACGGTGAGATGACCAGCAGAGGAACCCCGCCCCCTGCTCTCAGCCTCCCTGTTCCCTGGTGGCTGCTGTGACTTAGTGTTGTGTCTCCCCCAGAACTGTACACTTGCCACGGGCATCATTGGCCTGCTTCCAGAGGCCTGGACACTGAAAACCCCATCCATGTCCCCTCCACCCGAGTGAGTCTGGGGCAGGCTCACACCTTTACCATGGTACCTGCAGATACAAGTGAACCAATAATCTGTCTATACCCTGCTCTCAGGTGGTCCTAGAGCTGACCAGGCTAGCCAGAGGACCATCTAGGTCTTTGGGAGGTGGGTTGAGGGTAGATGGGGTCAGGATACCACCGTTCCTTGAGCTTGGTTCCTCTGAACCCCTAGGAAGTGTTTCGGCGGCATCGGGGACTACAGCTCCTAGCCCTGGTGGAGGAGGTACTGCCACGTCACCGCAGTGGCCACCGTGGGGACTGGCACATCTCTTTGAGCAAGCCCAGTGAGAAAGAGCAGCACCTGCTGATGACACTTGTGGGAGAGCAGGGTGAGCTGTCCACCACAGGCTCATACTCGGGGCTCAGGAAAGGATAGCGTTGTAGAGCCAGATAGCGGCATGCCACTGTAGGACTCTGGGTGGAGTGATGCCTGGGTTCTGACGGTGCAGAGACAGCTATGAACATCACACACTATGGGAGGGGGACTCTTGGGCTGTACAGGTTACAGCATCACACCTGTCATATGGTGTCAATCAAGATCAGTGGGAAAAGGCCAGCAGGGAACATACACGGGCCCTGAGTCTCTCTGTGATTGGAACCAGAAGTGTAGCAGAGGAGGCGCAGATAGGATGTCCCAGGAAGGGGTTGGGTCATGTGGAGACACCTCAGGGGTGCTCTGGTGATGATGGCGTTTCTTCTAGGGGTGGTGCCCACTCAAGATGTCCTTTCCATGCTGAGTGGCATCCGCAGGAGCCTGGAGGAGGTAAGTGTACCAGGACTTGGTGGCCACTGCAGCATTTGTTCCCGTTCCTGATCTCAAAAGTGCTGAGAGAATTCACAGCCTGCTCCAGGGGAGAGGTGTGCCTCAGGGCGCTGCCCCACCACCCCCATATAAAAAGCATGTGCGGGAAACCAATTGAACAAAAGGACTGCACACCCTCAGGCCATAGTGAGAGTGGCCTTGGGAGCTGGGATTAAGTAGGACAGTGTCTGAAGTATCATGCAGAAACTAATGGAGGGGGGGAAACAAGACAGGCCCTGTCCCTACCAGTCCCCTCCAGGGGAGCCCGAGGCAGTGGAGGATGCCTGGAACTGGGGAACATCCCTCCATTGTTAGAGCTGGCCCTGGTTAGGTGTGGTCTTCTGGCCCCCCGCTAGGCTGCAGGACATACAAGCTGGAGGTCCTGCCCGTTTTCTCTCCCTGACCCATGACCTGTTCAGTCTTCCCTTTGGAGGGTCTCTGCAGTGTTTGACAATACCCAGATGTCACAATGCAAAGGTGCTACGTGTTTCTGGACTATAGACAATGTTTACAAGGTCCAGACTACACCGGGTTCTCCCTTGTTCCCCTCTTCCACTCCGTGGTGTATAAGGATTAAAGGAAAAGAGCTGAAGCCCTGAGACCACCAGGTAGCAAGGACCAAGCCTGCTGCTGCCCTGCCTGGATGACTCCCAAAGCTCTTGTCAGCCTTGGAAACCTGGGCTTGAGCACAGAAGGGCAGTGGAGACTGGCAAGGCTTTCACATAGTGCAGGGAAGAGCTCTCTGGTAACAGCCCCACCTCCCTTGGCTTCCTTGTACCCGAAGCTGCTCTGTCAGGAGCTTAGCCTTACAGGGGAGGAGCCCAGCCCGGCCAGAGCAGCGGAGGCACATGCCACCTGTGATCTTCACACTGGCAAAGGGCAGAAGTTGGGCGTCCCCTTTGTGGGCTACAGCTGGCATCCCTCAATGGCCCCCAGTGATGCCAAGCTGCCTGAGTGACACCACCTAACCGTACGGTAGAAGCAATGTTTCGGGACACCAACTTTGAGGGGTGAATTTGAAAGTCTCCCAGATGCCTTTTTGTTTTGTGTAATTGATGGGGAAGGGTGTGGGTCCCTATCAGTCATCATGGAGAACAGCCTCAGTGCTGGGCAGAGCAGAAGTCAGTGAGGATGTGAGGGAGCTTAGATGTGGCCATTGGAAGAGCTTGGAGGCTTTTTTTTTTTTTTTTTTAAGATTTATTATGTAGCCAGTGTTCTGCCAGTATGCATGCCTGCAGGCCAGAAGAGGGCACCAGATCTCATAGATGGTTGTGAGCCACTATTGTGGTGGCTGGGAACTGGGCTCAGGAAGAGTGCTCTTAACCATCTCCAAGCCCCCTGGGGCTATTCTTAGATGAACCGAACCAATAGAGACAGAATAGTATGCCCTTCAGCACAAGTCCAGGCCTCAGGCCTGTCAGGGGCTCCAGCTTCACCCTTGCAATGTTAGTAATTGTCAGGACTTCTGCTGAGGACCTATCCCCACTCCCGCCCCTCAGATTGGCATCCAGAACTACTCCACCACCAGCAGCTGCCAGGCTCGGGCCACTCAGGTGCGCAGTGACTACGGGACGCTCTTCGTGGTGCTGGTGATCATTGGCGTCATCTGCTTCATCATCATTGTGCTTGGCCTACTCTACAACTGCTGGCAGCGTCGGCTGCCCAAGCTGAAACACGTGGTGAGTAGGCCGGGTAGGGCTTGGGAAGGGTGGAGCGCTGCCAGCATCTGCCAGCGCCATCAGCAGCCTCGCCTGGGGGCCTGCACCAGCTCAGTTGTGCTCACTGCCAGGCTGGGCCTGCACCTCCCTGAGGCTGGTACTGCGGCTTTCTTTGAGAGAGGGTACACAGTGGGGGGCAGGGTGCCAGTCTCACCAGAGGGTCCCTCCTCTGCTCCAGCTTCTATCCCCGCCCCCCCCCTCGCTTCAGGGCGCGAGAGCAGAGGGTTCCTGCAACCTGCAATAAGAGGAGGAGGTCAGGTCCTGGTCCTGAGTTTCCGGGAGTCTCATATCTATAATGGGTTGTTGGGAGGGATCAAGTGACACTAGGGAAGTCACGGGGTTTATGGTGCAGAGAATTAAGGCTCGAGCTGCAGAAACTGTCTACTGGGCCCCCAGAGAGCACCCTGGGGGCGTGTCGTGGCCAGCTACCACGTGTGCCCAGCTCTCTCTCCCGCTGCCGCAGTCGCACGGCGAGGAGCTGCGCTTTGTGGAGAACGGCTGCCACGACAACCCCACGCTGGACGTGGCCAGCGACAGCCAGTCGGAGATGCAGGAGAAGCAGCCCAGCCTGAACGGCGGTGGGGCTATCAACGGCCCGAGCAGCTGGAGCGCGCTCATGGGCAGCAAGCGCGACCCTGAGGACTCGGACATGTTCGAGGAGGACACGCACCTGTGAGCGCCGGGCCACGCGCAACTGCGCGGGACTACCCGACGCCGCGGTTCCGCGCCCCTCCTGGCCCTGCAGGGCCACTACGCTTCCCCACCGCAGCAGGCGACCACGGCGCAGCTCCCACCCCGTCCCGCCCGGCCCCGAGGGCGGCCCGCTCCCCGCGCCCGGACTCCATTAAAGCCGCCAAGACACGCGCGCCGCTCCGCCTCCACGCCTGTTTCTTGCTTCCCGAGGGCGGCGCTCGGCGGGTGTTAGGGACCGGGAAGAGTAGGCGGGGCCACGGGAGGTCATCCGGGTGGGTGGGGGTGGGCAGGCAACCGTGGAGTCTTGGGCGTGGCTAGATCGTGTGGGAGGAGTCTAGGGAATGTATTGTCCTCTGGGTGGAACCCAGGCGGGGTGGGGCTGATCCTGAAGCCGGCAGGGAACAGCCCTAGTAGAGGAGGCGCCCGCATTGTGGGCGGAGCCTAAACCGTACAGGTCTCATGGTGGATGGGCGTGGTTAAGGGTCTGTCCTCAGGGCTGAACCGGGGCTAGATGGGTGGGGCCTGGAACTGCCCTTCGGGTGAGGCTCTTCTGGGGAAGTCGGGCCTTGGTAGTGAGCTGTCTTCTGGAGAATGGGCGGAACCTGGGGGTTTGAGTTGTCCTCTAGGCGTGTGGGTGGGGGTCCAGGCTAGAGGTCCCCCTAGAGGCTAAGTGGGTGTGGCTAAGGTTAATAGGTGGGGCCTTGGTGAAAGGTCTTCTGGACGCGGAGGTGGTGATTAGGCTGCGTGGTCCTCCGGACGCCAGGCGCCGCTGCGGGGCCGCAGTCGGGCATTGCGAGGGGCGGGGCGGTGAGTGTTTACATCCGGCCCGGCACAGAGGTCTCCAGACATCGCTCGGTCGGGGGTCCAGCCTTCCTCACCATGGACACCAGCGACCTGTTTGCCAGCTGTAGGAAGGGGGACGTGGGCCGTGTGCGGTGAGGACCTGCAGTGCTGGAGGCGGGCGGGTGTCCGCAGGGTGCGTCGGGCTTAGGTGTGCGGGGCAGGTTCCGTGGGGCTCCCGAAGCTGACCGAACTCGGAGAGATCGTGCTCCAGGTATCTTACCTAACTCGGCGCTGGGAAACGACTCCCCTCCACGGAGGTATCAAGAGATGCAGATGCTCCTGATGCAGCCAGTACGAGCCTGGCACCGAGTCCTAGTCTCTCTCCGCGGTCAGGCAGGGAGGAGAACGGATACTGGCCCTCGCTGTCTTTTGATGGACTCCTTTCTCACATGACCCGTCTATCCAAATTCTCCGGCCCTCATCAGAGGAGGCCAGGCTGCAGCTCTGTCCCAAAGCCTCCTTAGGCCTGTCCCCAATACCAGATGCCACCTCTCAATGTAACCGCAACTATGAGAGCCCAGGTCCTGCCTTGATGTCTTCCTTGGGCTGCCACGTCCCGGTGATGGCCTCCGAGTTCATGACCTCTTCTCAGCATCTTAACAATTGTTCTTTCCACTTCTTCCCTAGATCTGTCCCTGTCTCCTGCTCTCCATTGCCAGAGTGCCTGCACCAGCTTTTCTCTGGCTTCTCTGCCTTCACCTCCCCAGGCTGAAGTAGGGGCCCATCACCTTTTCTCTCCCAAATGTTACAAGACCAAATTCCTCAGCCTTCTTAACCTGGGGCTGGCCTCTGTCCCTGAAGCTCTCACCCAACTCGCAGTTGCTGATCCTTGCAGGCCTGTGCACTCCCAAGCCGCACCCTTCTCAGAAGTATCCCTAGCCCAGAGCAATGTGGCCTCCTGCCCCTACTTGGTCTCCTCTCCCAGATTAGAAGCAGTTCTGACCCAGGCTCTGAACTTCCTGCCCAGGTACCTGCTGGAGCAACGAGACGTGGAGGTGAACGTTCGGGACAAGTGGGACAGCACCCCTTTGTGAGTGTGATCTGGTGGGTAAGCTGGGTGGGTAGGGTGGGCCTAACCTACTGACAGCTGCCCCCTTTTCCTAGGTACTATGCCTGCCTCTGTGGGCATGAGGAGTTGGTGCGCTACCTGTTGGCTAATGGTGAGAGAGAGTCAGGGTCTGACTGTATGTAAGCTCTGATACCTTGCTACACATTTGCATTCACCCTTGATTTCTTGCTAACACCCGAAAGCCAATGATTTATTAAAGCTTGCCTGAGGATTCAGAAAGCAAAGTCAGCCTCAAGCTGTAGAGATCAGGCATCGATGATACATATCTTTAATCCCAGCAACCAGAAGCTAGGAAGTGGTGGTGCACACCTTTAACCCTAGGACTCATCAGGATTAAGAGGTAGACAGATCTCTGTGAGTCCAATGCCACCAAGTTCTACACAAGATTGATCTAGTCTTAAAGAGAAACAGCTCACACAAAGATGATCTCAGCACCTGAGATCACACACCTTTAATCCCAGCACTACAAGGATAGAATAGATAGCATCAGGATCTTAACTAGTCAGTATCAGACATTCATTCTCCAGCCACACTGAGGATAGGAAGACATTGAGTCTCCAGCCACACTGAGGAGAGGCAGCAGTGTGAGGTTTGGTGGAGCAGGATCATCTGAGGTAGAGTAAGAGCTAGTGACCAGCTGCTTTGCTTTTCTGATCTTCAGCTTGAAGTTTGAACCCCAATATCAGTCATTTATTGATTGTGCCACAGGTACTCTTTAACCCTCTGCCCATTCCCCATGTTACCCTGGACCATGCCACCATCCGTTTGCTAAACTGATCTCTTGCCCCACCTATAGTCTGACCCCCATGTTGCAGGCAGGGGGATCTTTTCCATAGCAGAGCTGAAGGAATTTCGGGAGTGTTTGGTAGGAAAGCTGTTGGGCATGGTTGCTCACACTTGCAATCCAGTCACTGGGAGAGAGGAGAGTTGAGGCAGGGGGATTATCTTAAGTTCAAAGCGAGCCTATTGTGAGACCTTGTTTCAAAAAACAATAAAAAGGGTAAAACCGGACTTGCCTGTGAAACTCCACAGGCCCCACTCCTTAGGTCTCCCACGTGCTGGCTGCCCATGGTTTCTGAGTGCCCCACTAGACCTAGCCATTCACCAAAGGTCTTTTCAGTTGCAGCACCTCCTGCTTAGACCGGAATTCCTAACCTAAATCTGTGCACCTCTGGCTTCATTCAAGGCCCTGTACCTAGCCACCCACTTGCCATCACAACCTCCCTGTATAGCAGCCACCTCCATTGTCTCCTTGGTCTTGTTTTGTAATAATGGTGGCTGTTGCATACTAAGATGCTCATATTCCCCACTGGCGTAGGTTCAGTTGCGGCAGAGATCTGCCAGTCAGCAAGATGGCTGTAGACAGAGCCAGCCATTCAGTCTGCACTTAGGCTACACATCGACTGATACGTACTTGTGAATATGCTTACATCTAAGTGCACGGATTGTGTGCCCTTGGCCTTCACGAGGACTCAAGGGTTGCCTGGGACACCTTGGGAAGGAAGGGCCTCCAGGGCTTCTGGATGCTACTTGTGGGAGCTGGGGAGGAGGGGAAGGCCGGAGATAGTGTCCCTTGACTTTGACTGGTGGGCATTGCTTCTTAGGAGCCCGCTGTGAGGCCAATACTTTTGATGGAGAGCGGTGTCTCTATGGGGCCCTGAGTGACCCTATTCGCCGTGCACTGCGCGACTACAAACAGGTTACTGCATCCTGCAGGAGGCGGGATTACTACGATGATTTCCTGCAGCGGTGAGCTGAGGGCGGAGCTTGCAGCACTGTTGGGGTTGCTGGGCACTCTGGGTGGGTTCAGGTGGGCAGGGTGTACTAAGTAGTCTTGATGTACTCCCTTTTACCTGAGTGATGCATCCCTTCCTGGCTTTCCCCAGGCTTCTGGAACAGGGTATCCACAGTGACGTGGTCTTCGTGGTACACGGAAAGCCGTTCCGGGCGCATCGCTGTGTCCTCGGTGCGCGCAGCACCTACTTCGCCAACATGCTGGACACCAAGTGGAAGGGCAAGAGCGTTGTGGTTCTCAGGCACCCCCTGGTGCGTCTGTCTGCCTTGGCAGAGAGTGCTGACTTCTGAGCGAGTACTTAGCTCGCTGGGTGGTAGCGTCTGATCTCTCATTTCTGCTCTGCCCACAGATCAACCCAGTGGCCTTTGGGGCTCTGCTGCAGTACCTGTACACAGGTGACTGACCCCCTGGGCTGGGACAGCAGCACACCCAGAGTGGCTCTGAGCTGACATGCCCCTTCTAAGCCACTCACCGTTGGGGAGGAGGAGTGTGCCCAGCAAGCATCCTGACTCTGGTGGTGCATTGACTTGCTTGCTTGGCAAGAACATATCCCATCCACAAACTGAGCAGGTCTTAGGTCCTTCTGCATGAGGAAACCAGGACACTGAGTAGGAATCATCCTAGGTCCTGACCCATCCCCCTGCACCCCCAGGCCGCCTAGACATCGGTGTGGAGCATGTTAGTGACTGTGAACGCCTGGCCAAGCAGTGCCAGCTGTGGGACCTGCTTGAAGACCTGGAGGCTAAATGCGAGAAGGTGTCTGAATTCGGTGTGTACAGGGTCTCAGTCCAAGGTCTTTGTACAACCAGTAGTGCTGGTCGAGTCTCTAAATCCCTGCTGTCCTTCTCCCAGTGGCTTCCAAGCCCGGCACGTGTGTGAAGGTGCTTACTATTGAGCCCCCTCCAGCAGATCCCCGGTTGCGGGAGGATATGGCACTGCTGGCCGACTGTGCCCTGCCACCTGAGCTTCGGGTACTGAAGGGGCATGCTGGCCTGGTGGGCAGGAGGGGTGTTTAGGGGTGGGGCCGTGGAGGGCAGCCCCACATTGCCGGGTTCCCCTCCTAGGCCAGCCTGGGACGCTGCTTCCCTTTCATGAACAGCTTTGCTCTCATGGGTTCTTACCTATTCCCAGGGCGACCTAGGAGAGCTGCCCTTCCCATGTCCTGATGGCTTCAGCAGCTGCCCTGATATCTGCTTCCGAGTGGCTGACTCCAGCTTCCTCTGCCACAAGGTGCCTGTCCCCCTCCTGTCCCTGCTTGGGCTAGCTCCCTGGGGGCAGGTCCAGGCCCAGTACTTTCTGAATCTTCTCTCTCAGGCTTTCTTCTGTGGCCGCAGCGACTACTTCCGGGCTCTGCTGGATGATCACTTTCGAGAGAGCGAGGAACCTGCAGCTTCTGGGGACCCCCCAGTTGTCACCCTGCATGACATCTCCCCAGATATCTTCACTCATGTGCTGTACTATGTATACAGTGACCATACTGAGGTGTGACACCCAGTGGGAGGACAGTGGGGAATGGAGCCCTGGGCTGTCAAGGTCCTTGGGGTTCTGGGCTCTTGGGTCATCCCTGCCCTTAGCTGCTCTAGAGTTTGTGACTCAGGCCTGTAAATGGCAGCAGACAGTGCCAAGGTCTGTGTGCACTGTAGCAGGGCAGGATGCAGGAGAGAAGTATGTTTTCCATTGGTCTGAGAGGCCAGGTGGCTTGCTCGGGACCAGATATCCCTCTGCCTTCTCCAGGGCATTCCTGCAGATCTTTCTGCAGAAGGTAATGTTTCGGGCCTGGTGGGCCACGTCGTATCTGCAGGGCTGCTCCGCTGGGCATGCCATGCTCCAGGAAAGTTCTGTGTAGGAATGGTGGCCCTGACCCTCAGTCTGTGGCTCCTATCCTACCCTGGCTTTGTCCTCTACAACTGAGAAGGAGCCACAGGAATGTGTGTACCTGTACCACTTCCTGTTGATCCCAGTCCTGGCCCTCCAGCCCCCATCAGCCTGCCACCCCCCCCCTCCCACTAGGCTCTGCCACCGGCCTGCCACCCCCCTTCTGCTGATTTCCCTCACTTCCTTTCTCATGATCTGCCACTCACGCTGCGGTCGAGTCTGTCATCCTGAGTCACAAGTTCCCTCCTGAAGAAGCTTTGAACCCCAAGAACATTCTTAATAGCTCAGAGTGGGGATCAGCTTCCAAACATGGCCTAACAGTAGATTAGTCTCTTGTGGGCTATGTGATCCTAGGCAAGTTCCATGCTGCTCAGTGCTTCAGTGAATCCCAGGAGGAGATGGGAGCGAAATGTGTTTCCTTGAGTCTTGTGCATGTGACCGTATGACCACAGGTCAGTTAGACAGCAAGGTGGCAGCCTGAAGTGTAGTGGCATAGTCCTTTGTTTTTTTCCCCTCTGCTCAGTGCCTGAGCTACCCAAGGTCGGGCTGAAGCTGGACCTTTGGTCTTTCTCAGCCAAGGCCTTAGCTGTCCCCTGCTCAGTTCTGAGTGGTCTCTCACGGTGGGGAAACCATGCCCATGCTTGTGAACTAGAAATGGAAATCTCCAGCTCACTTTACTAAACGTTTTTCAAGGTAGGCATGGCTATCTCTACTCCACGGATGAGGAAACAGAGACAGATGTGAAGGGACTTACCTGGAATGTCACAGCTGGATGTGAGAACTCAAGTCTATGACTGAGCCTATATGCTTTTCCTGGAAGGCCTGCAGCCCTAATCACTGGTCTGCCTTAGGCATGGGACCCTCTCCCCCCAGGTTCTTTTTTCCATTGCACCCTCTGGATCTGGGCCAGGCTCCAGAGTTATGTCACTCTTTCCCACTGGGGCCTCCAACCTGGTCCCTGGAAGCCTTGTTGATCACTGGTGTCCCTTTGTCCCTTCTTGTTCCCCAGCTGCCTCCTGAGTTGGCCTATGACGTGCTGAGCGTGGCTGACATGTACCTTCTACCCGGCCTGAAGCGGCTTTGTGGCCGCAGCCTGGCCCAGCTACTGGAGGAGGACAGTGTGGTGGGTGTCTGGCGCATAGCCAAGCTGTTTCGTCTGGCCCGGCTGGAGGACCAGTGTACTGAGTACATGGCCAAGGTCATTGAGAAGGTGGGCAGAGAGGGGAGGCTGTGAGGGCAGGATACGGCCTGCGCAGGGATACAGCCTGCCCTGAGCCTGTTCTTCTGTAGCTGGTAGAGCGAGAGGACTTTGTGGAGGCCGTTCGCGAAGAGGCAGCAGCTGTGGCCGCCCGGCAGGAGACAGACTCCATTCCACTTGTCGATGACATCCGCTTCCATGTGGCCAGCACAGTCCAGACCTACAGTGCCATTGAAGAGGCGCAGCAGCGACTGCGGGCACTTGAGGACCTGCTTGTGTCCATTGGCTTAGACTGCTGAGCCCTTGCCATCAGCAAGCCCTGCAGCTAGGGTTCCCATGGTGACAAGCGTGCACAGTGTGTGCATACAGCAACTGTTGCTCTTGCACGCTTGGTGGCATTACAGTGTGCAGAGAAGACCCATTGGGCTCCTGGGGACCTCACAAGGTGTTCTTGGGACGAGCCTCCTCCCCTAGTGCACAAATAAGCCCCAAGATTGGGGGCTGGCACCACTCAGGGAAAGCTGGGGTATGGTAGGCTTTGAACTCAGTCCCCTCTCCCCCAGGACCCCACCTCCTTCCTCCTGGCCCTCACCCAGCCCTGGCTTGCTTCGGGTTTTTCCATGTACAGGGTTGGACAGGAAACTGTGTGTGTGTGTGTGTGTGGCAATAAAGCTTGAATTCACTGTGGAGACCTGAGCCTGTGTTGGGGTGCAGCTTGGGAGGTCAGGCTTTGGGGAGTGGAGCTGGTAAGGAGGGGATGCTGGGACTGTGGGTTGGGGGTTTGGGCATTCTCAGCAAGGACATTTCAGGGAGGATGACCCAGAGGCTTGGAGAACAGATTCTGAGCCAGTCAGGCCTTTACCCCTGCCACTTAACCACAGCAGGTGTGACCCTGTGGCTTAACGACACAGACCAAGACATCAGAGAGATACAGTATTCCCTGTTGGCTCTTAGGTCTAGGGACTATCGACCCTTGCTTTGGTGCCAGTCTTGGACAGCCTATGCTTGTTACCCTGCAAAGCTATAGATCTCCCTGTCTTTGTGCTTGTCATTTTCCAGAACATTTTTCCCCCTTTCCATCATCAATGCCGTATCATTTGTTTTGCTCTTTATTGGTCATTTGGAGGGAGAGCTGAAGCCACCAGCTGGGACAAGTTGCCTTCCGTCAGGCTTTCAGGCAGAGTGGTGCAAAGATCGAAGGCAGACTCTCCAGAGCTCACCACGGGCAGAGGGGAAGACAGGGTCTCACTGGCTCGGCCTGTGTACCTGTCCCTATCAGTGTCCTGGTTGCTACTGTGTTCCCCGCTGGGGAGATGAGTTCAGTGGTTACCTGAGAAGGCTTACGGCCACCCCTGGTCTGTGCTGAGTCTGGGTGTTTGTGAAGCACATGCAGGAACCACCTGCTGGGAGGTACCAGCCAAGCAGGGGTGTGGCAGTGACTTGCATCTTTAAGTTTGTACTTTGAAGTACCAGGGACAGGGAGGATGGGAACTCAGGCCACAAGCAGTTTAGGACGTGTGGGCTTAACTTCACAAGGTAAAGGAAACGCTTTAAAATAACGTGCATTTCTTCCCACGTGTGATTAACGTTTAGGTCCATCTTTTGAACAGGTGTTATTTGAAATCAGAAAGTTTCCATTTCCCATCAGATGTTAGTAACATGAGCAAAGGAATTTTTGTTGTTTTGAGACAGAGTTTCTTTGTGTAGCTTTGGAGCCTGTCTTGGAAATCGCTCTGTAGACCAGGCTGGCTTCGAACTCATAGAGATCCTCCTGCCTTTGCCTCCCGAGTGTTAGGATTAAACGCATGGGCCGCCACCGCCTGACTTTGAGCAAAGGAATTTTAAGTGCCCCAGAATCCATATTCTCCAGGTTTATTGATGGCACCGTAGGGTCACCAAGGAGCCAGGCTGTGGGTGAGAATGATGACAAGTTCCCCAAACACAGCACACATGCCCAGTTTCTCAATTTAGCGTAAGGCAGAAACCCAAGTGTTGTAAGTAGGAGACACCGGCCTCGCTACTGTTAGGCAATGGAATCCTTCCTGCTCTGCCCAGATAGCAACTGTGAGCAGGTGAGATGGTCTCCAGTGGGCTGTCCCAAGGGGCTAGGCTGGCAGAGCCAGAGGGTGCAGAGAGCTGGGTGCTTCAGGCTATAGAAACCAGAGTCAGGACTCCAGGGTCTCAGGTTGGGGATTCATTGCTCTGGGCTTTAGCCCACAGTGGCCTGAGTAGCATGTAGGTCTTGATAGTGTTGCTGCCATCAGCTGGCCAGGGTCCTTCTGCTGCGTCTACCCAGCTAGAAGCCATAGGAAAGGAGACGCTCTTCTGGTGTTGGTCTCGGTGGTTCTTCCTCGTGTTTGGCGGCAGCAGGCAGCAGCAGGCAGTACCCACTGTCCCTGCAGCTCTTGTGTGCACCTCAGAAACCTGGCTCCTCCGCTGCTGGCAGCAGCCAGTGTTGCACTCTTGTGTAGCCTGGCAAGTCTACGTTGTCCCTTAAACACTGTCTTGGCTCAAGGTTTGGGACCTTTGGCCCTGAAGCCAGTTTCTGGGAACTCCTCTAGTGACCTGGCCTGTGGTTTCTCTTTCCCGGTTCCTTCCCGATTTTGTTGTGCCTCAGTCTCTGCCCGTGATGGTTTCTGCTCTTCCTGCTCCTCTTCCTGCCCTGGCAGCCCTTGAACTAACAGATCAGCTGCTGCTTCCGTTGCGTCCTTTTTGCATCATAGCCTGTTGACTACTTGCTTGTTACTGATGCTGCTGTGATTTCTGTTATCAGCTCAGCCCACACTACTGACCATAGACAAGGAAAGACCACTTTAAAGAAGCCCCTTCCTGGAACTAATACTACACCAGCAGGGTAGGGAGCACCGGAGGGTCTCCCTGCCATTCATGAGTGAGCCTGAGCAGCCTGCTTATACTGCTTGAGGAGAGCTATCTGGGCCAACCACAGCCTTGCCTCCGCACCAGACACTGCAGTCCAATCTGTTAGGCCACCAGGGGAATTTGCTCCTCTGGTTTAGATGGCAATGGCTACAAGAGTCATGTAGCGCTCACCCAGGCTCACACAGCCCTGGCTGAAGCTGTGCCTTCAGGAGCTGGGACACTCCTATGTGCCTGATTGGGAGGGAACTTGCATAGTTGTCTTAAGGGGTCTGTGGAATGTTCCAGGTGGCCAGTGCCGGCAGAAGGTAGTAGAGACAACAGTTCTTTTGTTCTGAACAGCCAGGCGTACTTCAAAAGCAAACTAGCTAGTTAGGGCGTCACCACACTGCTTCCATCTCAAAGCGTCTTTAGGTTTTGTTTATAGGAAAACGAACATGAGAACTTTTCATCAATAATGGTGATTTTGTTTTAAAAAAAGATTGGTTTCTTTTGAGACTGGGACAGGAACCCCAGAGTGACATTGGCCATGTAGCCTAGAACAGCCCTGAACTTCTGATTCTCCTGCTTCAACCTCCCAAGTGCCAGGATCAGAAGCACACAGCAGCATGCCTGGCAGTTTTAACAGCTACCCACTGTTCCAGGAAGAGGTGGGTCCCAGGGCTGCATCTCCTGAGTGGGGAGCTTAGCTCCACAGCTAGTGCCATGGCTCAGGCCCAGAGTCTGAGGCCTTGTAAACTCAACGCCACTCCAAGAACAATGTGCGTCCCTGTTTATAGACCCCTCTTGCAACTCTCAGGGCCACGCTCTGGCCATCCTTTATCTGGGTGAAGAATTCCATTTAAGTCAATCCCAACTTCCTGTCAGCCACCAGGGGGCATGCCTGTGATCTCCTGAGGTTCATTTGCAGTGTAATCAGCTGAGCAGCAGCCTTGGAGGTCTCAGATGATGGTGTACCTACCATTCAGCAGCCCTGGTCAAGGTACGGTCTCAGCTCTGATTCTGGTTCTATAGGACAAATACTTTTGCTTCAGGGTGCAGTTTCTCCAACCAAGAACAACTGCCTTCATCTGAGGGATGGTGTCCTGTCCTGAGGGTTGGCCTGCCATGGAGGGGCATTCTGTCCTTCTGGGCTCTACAGTTCCTAGATTCCAAAGTCAGTGCAGTTTTAGGGCAATGACTGTTTCTGTGCCTTTGAACTTGAAGTGGGATGTGATTAACATCAGGTGAGCAACTGACCCAAAGGAGAACGGTCACAAAACAAAGGCAGAGATGCCAGACTGTCGCCCTGCTGTTTCTTTGTGGGACCAAACGAGAAGCCAGAGCTTTTTGGCAAAAGCAGTTTCTAAAGATCTCTCTGAGGATCCGAGAGGATGGGTCAGTATAGCAAATATATTGGGGTGTTAGAATGAAGAAAACACTTGTCTCTCATTTTATATTTCAGTGTGTTGAAATCCAGGGCCTACTCTCCTCTCCCAAGCCATACCCTAACCCTTTGGTTATGTACTGAACAGTTTTAAGACCTGTCCGTCTGGGGAAAGTGGCAGGTTTCTCTGGTCGGACATGAATGGGCCTCTGAACCAAGTTGACTGGCTGTGCAGGTCACCCCTCTGTAGGATTTGTGGGTACACTGCTAGAGTACCTATGGTGGGTTTTCTTGGGTCCTCGGGAAGGGGACATCTGTCCAGATCTGGGAGACAGGGGTGGAAGTCCTCAGGCCTCAGTAGTTTTTCATGATGTTGGTCTTTAGGCCTTATACTGTAGGGCAGAGGGGTGTGGCTCTACCTCAGTTGTGGTTGTAGCAAATCACTGCACTTGTAGAATATTACTTTAAGGTGTGCTACATTTGTTTATGCTCTGGAACATTCGTTTAATGATGTAAAGATGTGTGACTTTTGTTTGCACTGCATTTGTTTAGCTGTGTGAAGCTGTGTTACTGTGCCTGTCTAAAACACCTGGTGGTCCTAATAAGGAGCTGAACGGCCAATAGTGAGGCAGGAGCAAGGGTAGGCGGGGCTGGCAGGCAGAGAGCATATTAAATAGAAGGAGAAATGAGGAGCAAGAGAAAAAGAAGAGCAGGACATCAGGGGCCAGCCAGCCACAGAGTAAGAAGGAAATGGAAGATATACAGAAATACAAAAGATAAAAGCCCAGAGGGAAAAGGTTCACAGGATAATTTAAGAAAAGCTGGCAAGAAACAAGCCATGCTAAGGCCGGGCATTCCTAAGAATAAGCCTCCATGTGTGATTTATATGGATGACGGTCCTCCAAAAAGCCAAAAGAGTAACCCATCACACTACAGCATCCTTGGGTTTCCAACCAGCCACAGAAGCCCACCACCCCTGGGACCACGACCGGGCGCCACCTGGGAAGCAGAACCAGAACTCCAGAAAGTGCAGTGAGTATCATGGGCTGACAGGCAGTCTCCTTCCTCCAGTGGCCAGAGGAGTGGCTGTTCTCTTCTCTCCTGGCCCCTGACACACCTGCCACCTGTCCCATCTGTCAAGACTCTGATGGCTGGGCTCTGCCCCGCTGTTCTGTCCTCTCCCAATGCTCCCATATTGTCTCTTTGCAGGTCTCCATGGGGCAGGTTCATCTGGCAATAACCCACCATGTCCTGTGCCTTGAGTCCTGCCCCCTTCCTCCTCACTGACTGATGCCACCGCAGCTGTGGCCATGTCACAGGCAAGTCAGTTCTAATGTAAAGAATTACCAGATGCAATTTCTAATTTCTATTCTATTCTTTGAAAGGTGCATGCCTACTGCTCCTTCCCTAGTGGCTCGTTCATTCCTGTGAACCAAAGTTCCTGGAAAGAAGCTGTACCTGCCACTGAACCTTCTGTAGGACTGATTAGAATTTCAAAGGCTGTAGGAAGGCTGAAGCAGTATGTATATCCAGAGCCTAATGACTATTTATCTTCAGTCTCTTTAAGAACCATTCCTTACCCACCTCTGTGTCTGACCAAACGTCCTTGTGATTAATAGGCAAAACCCTCTGAAATGTGTTAACCTAACAGACTATCAGCTTTCATCAATCAAGAGCTAAGAGTGTCACCAGTTAGCATCTGTGGTCTATAGCAGGGTGTTGTGGAACATTAAGATGTGTTACATTTGTTTATACTGTTGAATATTTAATGATGCAAAGATGTGTTGCATTCTTTTATGTTTCATTTGTTTAACTCTTGTAAAGCTGTGTTATTTTGTCTGCCTAAAACACCCGATTGGGCTAATAAAGAGCTGAATGACCAATAGCAAGGCAGGAGAGAAGATGGGCGGGGTTGCCAGGCAGAGAGATAAAAGGAGGAGGAGAGGCGGAGGAGGACACCACCAGGGGTCAGCCACCAGCCACACAACCAGCTGTGGAGTAAGAAGGAAAGAAAGCTATATAGAATAGAGAACGGTAAGAACCCAGAGGCAAAGGTAGACGGGATAATTTAGGAAAAGCTAAATAGAAAAGCTAAGGCTGTGCATTTGTAAGAAAAAGTCTCCTTGTATTAATTTGGGAGCTGGGTGGCAGGCCCCCAAAGAGTTAAGAGTACAGCAGAGACTTCCTGATTTTCTTCAATTTGCTGTTACATTTTGTTGCTGTGACAAAGCACCATGAGCTGGAGTGACTTAGTCCATTCACAGTGATGTACTTCCTCCAGCAAGACTCCACTCCTAAAGTTCCGTAGCCTCTCTAAACACCACCACCAAGAGGAACCAGTTATTTACATACCAGAGCTTATAGGGGACATCTCTTATACAACTAACACCTGTGGAACTGATGTTGCCATCAATGTACTTGAGAAGTACCTTGGTTCATGACTTAGCTCAGTAACTAAGAATTTCATGTAACTTGGACATTGGAACAGAATTTTGGAGTGATCTGAACCGTGTTCCCAGGCCATCATCACTCATATATACATGTATTCTCTCATATCCTTTGAGGTTGGAACTGTCTTATTTTTTATTTTGACATTCTTTCTTTCCTCCCTTGTTCACCTTCATGCATTCCTTCACAGCCCCTTCATTCATTCTCACCCCCGTGCTCATTTAGTAACGTCCTTTCCCTCTGTCCCTCCTCCCATCCATTCCCTCCCTCCCTCCCTCCCCATGACAAAGTATTTCTGGGGTCCCTCTGGACAATAGTTGGAACATGTACTTTTCATCTCACAACCCAAGTAAGAGACAGGGCTGCCCAGAGGACAAAAAGTGTATCCTATCCAATAGGGACAGGGCATGGTGAGGCTATTAGTGACGAAGGTAAGAAACCACTCTCAGTAGGGGCCTCAGCCTTTAGTGAGCTGGGGTCACACAAGGCCTTTGCATACAGGAGGCTCACTTCTGACTTGGCCGCCACCCCTGCTGTTCCCTAGCAGTTATAGCGATAGTTCTGGGGACAACACTCTGAACGCAGAGCTGTTGGTTCAGGAGACTATGGGGAGCCAGAGGAGGTGATCAAGACACCAGCAACAGATGACAGATGTCCTGGATTACCCTCGGTCAGGGAGCAGGCGTGGGAGAAGATGGGGCTTGGCCATGCTGGGCATCCAACATGACAGCAACAGAGAAGCAAAGCTGTTAAGGCTGCCTGAGCACTGGAGACGGGTGAATCTATGCTTCAGCATGGCCTCCCCAAGAACGGATGGGAGAAGATACAATCCATTTGTCCGGTTGGCATTTGGCCCTGGAAGGGCTGCTGAGTTGACATCAGGAGACCGGCATGGGATGCTTCACTGCTTCCAGCACAGGCCTGTGGGTCTCTTAGCAAAAGGGTTGACACCAAGAACAAGAGGCCAGACAGACAGACACGGGACTCTCCAAAAGCACGTGGTTTATTATGGTGAGCTGTAGTGCACATCGGTTTCTTTAGTTCTAAGCCGGTGCAGGTTCCCCACTAAGAGTACACACGGGGAGCACGCGCGGTGACAGTAACAGACCAGTGAGCCACTGTGATCCCTAGAAAGTTACATTAGCAATCAGAAGAGAAAGGGAAGTGTGAGGTGGCCTGGGGTGGGACCTGAGCAGAGCCCTGTGGTATCAGAGCACCCCAACTGCTCTCATGATGGTCCCAGAACACCCAGAAGCTGAGGGGGCCATGGTGGAGGGAGGCTGTTTCCCTATCACTACCAAGGAACTGGTGCTTAGTGGTTGAGACGCCCTACTACCCGCAGGTGGCGCCCTTTCCTAACTAGCTTTTCAGGCACTAAGTCCATCCTTGTTGGAGAAGGTGCTGTGTTGTTACAGGCGCTTGGGTCTGGCTCCCCTCCCCTTCACCTGGGCAGGGCTCTCATGGCCCCTTGCTGGCTCCTACCTTATTAGCATTCCTCCCACACCCCAATCCCTCTGCATCCTGGTGATGGGGTGACTATGAGGCCCAGCTTGTCAGGCTTCCTCCAGTGCCAAGGGCAGAGTCTGCACAAGGCTGGCCCAGGCCTCTACAGACAGATCTTGTCATGTAGGACATGATGCATTTATGTCCCTGTCCCCTGTTCCAGGTTTCACAAGAGAGTCCCAATTTCAGGTCACTTCCCTCTTTTAGTGTTATCTATTCTTTAACCAGATGCTCATGCATCTCTATAAATGAAGTCTTGCATGAAAGCCACCAGCCCAGGGATGAGCATGTGGTCTGCAAAGTGGCACTGTCAGCATGTGCTTCTGGGAGCAGCCTGGGTAGCTCCTGGGAAGAATCACGGATCTGGGCCCTGAAGCACAGTAGTCTGGAATTGGGGTCTTTTGTTTTTCATGGAGAACAGAAACATCCCATGCCTGTCTGCTGCTGTCCAGGGCTCCCTGAGCAGCTGGGGGTGCTGACTGCCCCTCTTAGCATACTTTGTCCTTATTTTCTAAAGAGACACAGAACTAAGAGAGGGCTCTGGACAGCTCCTGGACACTGCCTTCCCTGCATGCAGTGCTTGGCCCTGCTGAGGGACACAGTGTCCTATGGCCTGTAGTAGTGGCCTGCTTCTGACTGCCATGCATGGTCAGGGCCACCAGAGAGGGCAGAGCCCAAGGACTTAGAATAAACTCCAGAAATGACAGGGCCTAGGTTGACAGGTGCCTCTTTCAAGACAATAGGGCCCTGAATTGCAGCTTCCTGGAGGATCAAGGGTCTACTCACCCCTCCCTGCAGGCAAGCAGTTGTCCCTGGCAGGAGCACCCCTTCCCAGGGTCCTATGTGCACTAACAAGACTCCTGAGGTAACAGCAAGCCCCTCTGTAAAGATGAAAGTGCTCAAGGGGGCAGTGAGCCCCAGTTATTGCTGGCACTAAGTGAGGCCTGGGCAGGCCTCTGGGCGGGCACCTGAGAGGACAGGGGGCTTGGACGTCACTGCTCCAGGGCAGCCTCTATGAGGCCTGGCTGGGCCATCCTGCTGCAGCCTGTGATGGGGTACAGACAGCTGTGGTCCTTGTCTGCGGGTGGCCACTGAGTGCTCTGGCTGCCCTGGGCAGCACCATGGCTTCATGAGAGTCTCCCTTGCCACCAGAGGTAGCTGCGCTAAGGCAAGCCACTCCTGGTGACTGCACACAGGGACCAGGCCACAGTCCTCCATTCTGTTTTTTTTCCTCAGTTAGGGGACTGGGACCTTCAGCAGACTGGCCCTGTGGGTACCAGTTCTTTCAAAGCTGTTTAGGCTACACCCACCCACCCCACCCATATAGTCTTTAGAATATACCATATATATTAAACACTTATCTTCAAAGTCACCCTCCTCAGCACGGAGTACTTAGTAACCTGAGAAAAAGGGCCTTTCTCAATGCATACAACATGCTCTGGGTAACCAAACTCCCAGTAGGGGGGAAGGGCTGTGTGGGGAGAAGAGCTTCTGGGCCACCCTCCCTCCCCACAGCCTGGCTTCCATCTGAGAAGCTGCTGACCAGGTCATAGGGTGGCTGCCCATTTTGAGGCAGCGACTCGGATGGGCACATGAGCCTACTAAGGAGCTAGCTCTGGGGACACAGGCCACCTCATCACATGCCAGAGAACAGCCAGTCAGAGAAGGCTTGGACAGGAGGAAAGAGACCTCTGATTATTGCAGACTGGGACATGGGACTGTGAGAGTCCCTGAACCCCACGGGAGCTGGGAGAGGTGGGCAGAGGCTGAATTTTTTAATCAAAGGATATTCCAACACAGTCTGTGTGTGGAAAATATACTTCCTCTTTCATAAAGTGCCTTCCTCCAAGGGTGGTAGAGTCAGTGGCCAATAGCCTTATATATGACAAATTATCTTTTTTTTCTTCAGAGTAAATTGCACTAGGGTTCCCTCCAATTGTTTTTTTCAAGCCAGTCAGCACTGCCCTTCCTCTGCCTGCTTCCCCCAGACCATGAGCTGGTTGCCTGGCTAGTGCATTCAGGGTGGGCACCCAGCTCCTGTTGTTGCTGTCCTGTGAGAGACCCACATATTTATTTCATGGAGGACGGACTTGGTCACTTCTGGAAGCTCCTTGTGGAGAACGTGGTAGGCACCTTCATACATCTGTAATCAGAAGGACCAGGGAATTAGACCTGGTGTGTGGGTCAGGCAGGGCACAGGGGTGCACAACGTCACACTTACGCGCTCACTTGGCGATCATTCCCAGTGTCCCCCCCAGTTCATTTTCAGATGGGATGCTGCTGCCACGTTGCTTAGGCTAGCCTCACATGTCTAGTCATCTTCCTACCTCAGGCTCCCGGTAGCTGAGAAGGCAGGTATGATCTCCTCTGTTCTGCTCTAGCCAGCACCTTCTAATCACAAATGACAATTTTGCAACAATCTGGACATCCCACGCTGTTCCCAGGGCTCTCCAGCTGCTGGTACGGCTTAGATCCCCAGAACCTTTCTGCCAGGAAGCTCTGTCCATCTTCATACCCCTACCTTTCATCATTTCCCCCGGTTCTCTCCTCCCAACGCATAGCAGTGGCCCTTGGCAAGGTCTCCAGGAATCTAATTTGCCCTACCCAGTCACTTTTGAAGCCTGGATGACTCTGGACTTACCAGCCATGTCCAGAGGCAGAGCAGCTGTTCTGTCCCTGTCAGCTCCCTCCCTTGCTGGTGGCTCCTACAGCCCCAGCAGTCTGGTAGCCACTCATGGCTTAGAAACTCATACCACACAGCTGACTAAGATGTCCCTCTGGTTAGCCACCTTCTATTTAGCCATTTGCCTTAAGATTTCTCTCTGCTGTCTGCTGGGGTCACCGTCTCAGGGACACTGTAGTCTCCTTGCCTTCACAGGCCTAAACCCCAGGAGCATCCTTCAATACTGTGTGGACCAATCACCTCATCCATTGGCCCTGATCCCTTCTCTGTGCTAAGAGCACTCAACATGCTTCTTCTATTTTCAACTGTTCAGTGAGCTACAGGACACATGACTGCATTTGCCCCTAACCTACCTGGTCCTCTTGTCTCTCCCTCCTCACTCTCCTAACCTTGGGAATCATAATTTAAATATTTACAGTGAGAGCATGCCACTCTTGGCTTTCTGAGCCTGGCTCATTTTGCTTTTCAATACATTTACCATCCTCCAAAAGCTTCCATGTGGTACAGGCATTTGCTCTTCAGATGAGCTTGTGCTCTAACAGGCACAGGCATCTCCCGTCTGAGGGCGACGTGCTTGTTTCTTACCTCAGCTGTGAACAGTGTTTCTCATGAGATCCTCCCCCTGTGCCAGCCTCGTTCTCCTGGTGCTCCCTACGCCAAAACCAAGTCCCCTCCCCCCCACTTCCCCTGCTTGGTCTGGAATGTTCTTCCATGGCTATTCTCCCTGTAGGTTTTTGGGTTGCCTGCTTCATAGGAGGGGAGTGTCCCAGCATCCCTCTATCCTGCAGACTCTGACCCCTGTCTACAGCCAATTTGAGCACCCATTTTCTCTTTGTTTACCTACTGGGGTGCAGATCAGATGTCTGCAGGACCTCCACAAAGTCAGAACTCAATAAACAGGAGTTGCAGAAGCAACAGAAGACTGCTGAGTAGGCGAAGAGCTAATTATCTGGGAGCTTGGAGCGGGGATGGAACCCTGGGCCCCCCTGAATGAGGGAAGAGCTCCATCACAGACAGGTCCTTGACAATTTGCAAAGATATGAGTCTCTGCCAGAATGGTACAGGGTTTGGAGGGATTGAGGACTCAAGCCCAAGAACTTCAGTTCAAATACTGACACTGACTCTATCACTTTTGAAGAATCACCTAACTGTCTTTGTAACACTGGGAACTGCAGGGAGCCTTGCAGCTGGGGTGAAACATTGTCTCCTGTGCCCAGCTGCAGGCTTTTTTTCTTGCACACACCATGGATTAGTCTCTTCTGTGTGAGGCTCATTCTTGTGAAGCCAAGGGCTGGGGACCCACGTATTGTCACAAAGTTCATTTGCCTGTAACCCCTCACCATTACTCCCCAGCCAGGCTGACCCCCTCCTGTCTCTTACCTTGAGTGTCTTGTCCTGACTCCGGGATGATTCCATGAGCAGGTAGGCACCTTTGCTGTCACACAGTCGGTCAGCAGAGCCCTGCAGCAGCAGGAATGGCAGCGTCAGCTTGGGCATCGCACGCTCTACCCTCGAAACGGCGTTCAGCAGCTGTATGCCAAAGCACACCTTCACCCCCGCGCGGCAGATGAGTGGGTCGGAGTCGTATATGTCCACCTGAGAGGAGGAGATTCAGTCAGCTCATGGGCTCCCTAGAGGGTGTCCTTCTGCCTGCCCAAGGGTTCTGGAGACTGGCAATGTGTTCAGTTCTGCAGAACTCAGGTCTGAACTGTGCTCAGCATCTCTGTGCTGGGACCTGAGCTTGTTTCACACAGCTCTGACTCATCTTACATTGGGGAGTAGGTCCAGAACGCCCCAAGTCTGAGATGCGCAGGTTTCTCATGTAGGTTGATGTATTGTTTGAGTAGAGCCTCCACACACCCTTCTCCAAGCTTCAGTCATCTCTAGAATGCTTATCAGATATAGGCCAAGGTCAGTGCTATAGAAACGCTGGGCTGTTTGGATTCTCCCATGAGGAGTCCAAGGACATGATGGAGGGCTGGCTGTCTACATAAAACATCTGTAGAAAATTTCCAACACTAAGGTACTAAGGTGGATTTTTACACATATAAGGAAGCAACATAGCCATGCATGGTGACACATGCTTGTAAAACCCCAGCTCTTGGGAAGCCAAAGCAGGAGGAGTTTAAGTTCAAGGTTAGATTGACCTTGAAAATATATATATCAGAAACAAAATATCCCATGCCATCTACTCAGTTACTGGCTCTGAGGGCACTGAGGTGTTACAGCAGGCTTGCTCGTCCTCATTCCCTAAGCTGCTTCTAGGTGGGGCGACGGCCGTGCACACAAAAGGGCTGGAAAGCATGGGTTGGAACAGGAAGTCTCCTAGGTGTTCAAGAACAGCTCTCAAGCCGTGACACCCGCTGCCTCCCCGCCTCCTTGCAGACAGACTCTGAGTTGGTTTGGGACAGCCAGATGGTAGGACCAAGGTGAGAGGGACTGAAGGCTGCTGGGCCTGATATGGCAGGGGCCTCTGAGCCCTGACTTAAGGTCATCTGCTTCTGTTGCCACCCCTCCAAAGGCCTGGCCAGAACTCCAGACCCATGGAAGAAGGGACAGGCTGTCCCGCAGTCACCCTGACAGCCTGGATTTGAGCCCCACCAAGCTGACCATTTGTGATGAGCTGCACGGGATGGATTAAACACTTCTTGCAGCTGAGCTGGCAAAGAACCCCACAGAGCCAGACCATCTGTTCAGCAGGCTAAGATAGGACTGGAGTCTGACAGAGCAGTTCAGGGACAGTGTGGGGAGAGCTGGCCATGGACCCAGGCCACCACAGGTCTCTTTCAGGGTCTTGAAGGAGCCCTACTTAGAGGAGAGCTATGGGGCCCCCAAAAGAGCCCTAAGCCTGAGGTTGGCCGAGTCTTGATGGTAATAGTAAGAGTGGCAGAAATGGCTGTACCATGTATCAGAAACATACCTTGGGCATAACCTGGTGTCAGGGGCACCATTCAGGGACCCCACTGTGTAGTAGAACAGCAGTTGCCATCTGAGCTGCTACAGGTACAGCCTCACAATGGAATCAAGGCTCTTATTGCTCATATGACATAGGAGACGAAACTCAGGCGCTGAGCGGGGGTGGGGGGTGGGGAGTGTTTAGCAGCCCATTGGTGCCTCAACTCCTGTTCTCCTGGCATCGGGCAGGGTACAGAACTTTCCAGACAGCGAGTACACATCACACTGCAGCTGGTATGGTCATGTGACCATATTCTGGCCAATAAGAAGCAAGTAAAGGAACTGGCCATGTGCTTGGGTCAAGGGCTTGCTTTATTCTCTAAGGAGAAGAACTACTAAGGCAAGGGTCACCCCTAGGGGTGTTCAGCAATGGAAAGAGTGTCTTGTCTCTGAGAAGTAGACATGAGGCAGAGGAAGGAACCAGCTCCTGCCTACCACACTGCTGCTTCCGAATGTGTCCATGCTGCACCTATGCTAGTCTCCTCCAGGATCTGGGGATGACAGCCTGGCGGGCTCTAGCCTGCCTACTGCCCAAAGTCCCCTGTTAACATCCTTCCAGAGGCTTCATCCTGCTTCCTAGAGTGTGCCAATATGCTAGGTCCCAGAGGAGTTCACTCCTGAGTTTAACTGCTTCATGGCCCCAGCTACTTCCTGATCGTGGCTTTGTTTCTATTTCTTGGCCACACAGACATTGTTTATATAATGGCACCTTCTGGGGAAGGAGCACCAGCAGTGTCAAGGGAAGGTAGATCCCAGATAGAACTATAGTTAGGATAGGAGGGAGAGAGGTACATAATGTGCCTTTCAGGGAAATCAAGGGAGGCTCCAAATCCTTTGGTCTGATCACTGTGTGCTTTTCTCTCTTGTGACTCTAAGTCAGTACTTCAGGGATGTTTAGAAAGAGCTGCACTGAGTCAATCTGGCTAGCATTTTGGAAATATTCATGGTTGTCAGGGCTAAGGATGAGAGGAGCATGGGTGGAGAGTGACTAGCTATACAGGATCAACACCTGGCTGGATATCTTCCTGTTGTGGGAAGCAGGGTGATGGACACATGAACTGTGTGTCTTTCATAGCTGGGTGCAGCTCACAGTAAAGTGTGTGTGTATCTGTGTATGTATGTTGACAGCTATGTTTTTGTTTCCAATGTGTTAATGTCAATTGCATTTGGCCTAGAGATGAACCTGGGCTCACATCCTGACTTTACTAACTGTGCCATTGGGTGAGTGATTTGCTCTCTTTTGATCCAAGCTTCCAAGGTTACAGGGGGACAGAAGGGGCTATGGTGTCCAGAAGGTGTAGAAATAAGATTATAGCTCAAGAAACTCCATAGAGAGCAAGACTCAGGGCTGACCATTGTAAAGTGGCACTAACAGCATTTGGTGAGCTACAGGATTGTGCTACAACAAACCCAAGCAAACATCTGATGCCATCCAGCCAAGGAAGCCACCTGCTTCCCCCACCTTCTGGCCTTCCCACCTGTACCAGCCTCTAGAGCCTGGCGGCAAAGTTCTCCAGTTCCCCACCATCCTGCGCTGGCCAGTTGTTTGGGGGTTTTGAGGCTTTCCTAGCGGTAGGGCACCATGGGCAATGTTGTGTGCTGCTGGGTGGTGCCTCTTCTGGCCATTTCCCCTGGGTGGGTGGAGAGGCTATTTTTAATGCTCAGCACAGGTTCAAAGGCAGCAGGGAGGCAGACACTCTACTGAGCAACGGGGGTGGCTCTAGCCACTTGAAGGCTGAGATCCTCGGGCTGCCAGCACTTACAGTTCTATGTCCCCCACGGGGGAGACATCTTCAGCTCTCTGGCTGGCCCAAAGGATGCAGGTGGCAATTGGGAGTTGTGGAACCTGAGAGCAGTCCTTCATGGTACCCTCTCATTCCCCATGAGACCCCAGACATGATGAGCTGTTTCTCGAGAGAGGGGGCTGGAATGAATTCACTTTCCTTTCTTTGTCGCTGCCTTTCGTTAGGAAGATAGACAACCTGGCTGTTGCATGTGGCAGCTTCCCAGGGGAAGCCCCTCTTTGCCTTTCTCTTTGACTGGGCTCACCAGCCAGCACCTGTCCAAGATGGACCCATTATTTGAGATGCAGGTCAATGAGAGTGGGTCTGCCTAGGGCTGCGAATCACCCACCTCTTCCCTCCAAAGTCCTTTCTGCCTCCAGCCCCTGGATGCAGTGCTGTGTTGTCCATGGCAGACTGCTCCCCAGAGATAAGACAGGTTGGGTTTGCCTGCAGATGAGCCCAGGTCATATCTGGGTTCCAGACAGTCCCAAAAGGATGACGCCTCTCTTCCTATTACTAGCCTGTTTTCCCAACCCCAGTGTGTGTCCTGAATGTGTCCCAAGCAATATGAGGAATTTTACAAGAGACACACACTCTACAAAATGCTACCTCCAAATCTGCCACCTTAGACCAGTGTCAAGGTTTTCTGATCTGTGGTGAATGGAAGAGCTCTGTAATGGCAAAGGAACTGGATATCCATCCCTGCCTTGGACTTTGCTCACTGCTATCTTGTTCGCAGGGTCCAGAGAACAATTTGGGTGCAAAGATGTCTTCTAACAAAATAAAATCCCTGTCTTCAAACAAAACAAAATAATTTAAGGGAAGATGGACAGCTCCCTGAGTCTGAGGTCCTCAACCTTCCTGGAGTGTCCTGCCTAGATTTTTAATTTTCCTTGAGCTGAGGATAGAGCCCAGGATTTCTTGCAGGTAGACAAGCTCTCCACACTGAGCAACACCTGTCTCTTACACAGCCGACCCCACAGCCTGGGGCCTCTCTACCTTCCCATAGGGGCATTCTCTGCCCCCAGGCTTTCATGTGTCCCAGGGTAGAACCTGACCAGGAAGCCAGAGTCTGACTGCCCAGGAAAGCAGGCTAGGCCATTGGGTTGTCAGAGTCCTATCCTAGGGTAGGCACTCAAGGTTTTTGGGAGCGTGGAATTCAAGCTCCTAAAACAAGGAAGGAGACCAAGGCAGAAGAGTGGCACCCAGCTTGTTTTGTTGTTAGGGTAATTCTAGTATCTTCCACATGTCCAAGGTTGCTCCTTCAAGCCTTCAGGTTTTCAGGCTCAATCCACCAGTGGGAACTCCCAGCAGGTTCTCAGACTAGCCCACCAGTTATTATTACCAACGATTTAGGATAATAAGGAAATGCAGGTTAGCAATTGGTCACTTATTACAATCAAACTTGCAGTCATATTAGGTATGTATGTTTTCAAGGCCAAACAGATACATTTTAGATAGAGACAGGTCATCTTCAAACACTTCGGAGATCTGCAGAATATGGCATTTAAGATGTTTTAAAAACAGGTTCTTTTTTTGACAATGAGGATTGTCTGCTCCTGGCAGCACCAGTCTACTTCAGAAAACATGGGCATCAAAGAATCTTCATATGGAGTTCACTTTCTTTGTGGCAAAAGTTAGTCACTGGGCAAGAAAGTGCCATTGCCTCGACTGCTTGACAGTATGCTGTCCAAATTGGACAAGCAGGACACAAAAGAAAGGACTGCTGAACTTTGCCAGGACAAAGTAGGACAGCACTTTAGAATATCCTGCTTCACAGAAAAGTCTGTCAGATATGCTAGGCCTTTAGGCCGAAGATGTGTGCACCAGTGTTGCAGAGAAACCTTGGGTGACTATCCAGGCAGCCAGCTGTTTCTCTCATTTCTCACAGTTTTTGGAACTCGCTCTCTTGCACTTCCTGCTTACTCGGGTCTCTAGTGGAGTTGAAGACTTTATAGCTATAGTTTTCCTTGTTGCCAGATTCAGAAAATAAATTCACTAAAAAAATGTAAAGTGTGTAAGGTTGAGATAGTTTTGGTAATGCAAGTTAGAAAGTGAATTAGGTATAACCTTTTGGACTCACTAAGATAGGATAGATACTGAGTATTTTCTCTGAATTTGTCATCTGTTAGTGGGCTAGACATTGTTGATGTACTAATTGCCTGTATATATTGTATATAGTTATTATACTTACTGTATATAGTTTTTCTTACATTAGTTATGACTACTTTTAGACACAAAAGTGGGGAATGTGGTATCTTGTTTATACTCTCAACAAATAAAGCTTGCCTGAAGATCAGAGGGCAGAGGAGCCACTAGCTAACCATAGAGGTCTGGAGGTCTGTACAGACAGACAGGAAGTGAGATGGCTGGGTGGAGAGAGGATATAGGTGGGAGCAGACAGGAGCTCGGTCTCTTTTCAGTCTGGAGATTCCTAAGAACTCTACTGGCTGACTGCTCTGCTTTTCTCATCGTTCAGCTTTCACCCCCCTAATATCTGACTCCAGGTTTTTATTATTAAGGCCAATTAGCTCATGGTTTCTTTGCCTTTACTTGGGGACAGCCTGGCTGGGGACAAAACCAAGTAGAGGTACTGGTCAGGGAGAAACTGAAACGACAGGTTCTTACAGAGACTTTGATCCCCGATCTAACTCTGCCCGAAGCCTTTAGTTCCTGTTACCAATAAATGCCCGCTTGTGCTTAAAGCACTTTATTTTTTAATTTTTTATGTGTACATCCTATGTGTGTGTGGGGGCGCTGGTGAAGGCCAGAGAGGGTGTCAGATACCCTGGAGTGAGCCACCAGTGTGGGGTCCTGGGAACCTCACCGGGGTCCTCCACAAGAGCAGAAAGCTCTCATAATTGTTGGGCCATCCTCTGGTCCCTTGAATCACTTTGACTTACGTTTCTGTCACTTGCGACCAAGAGAGACCTAACCATAAAGCATGTCTGTCCTCCATCAAGCTCTCTGCTCGTCTGGGGTAGAGATCAGACTCTCTGCTTTCCCCTAACCCCTAAGGCAAGGACAAAACTTCTCACTCCATTGTGTCCCCATCACCCCACCACCCCGAAATGGCAGCAAAGTGATGAGGAGAGAGCCCAGGTCACAGCTCACCGGGCCCCACCTTCACCAGCTTACTGTTCCCAACACCCCATGTCCACTCACACTCACCTCCGACTTGTTCCGAGACAGCACGCTGGAGTCGATGCGCCCCAAGGACATGTTTGGCAGGACAAGGTTGAGCACTTTGGCAGCAAGGACCTGGGCAAGGAGGCAAAATGAGAGTCATGAGTGCAGGCCACCCTTGCTGGAGGGCTAGAGGACCACCTGGGCAAGGAGCTGACACCCAAGCTGAGCGCAGTGGCCTTTGATGCTCAGGACTCGGGGATGCTGCTCGATGCAGGGCCCCGACATAGGGCCGCTCTCCTGCTGGCGTGACCACCAGGTCTGTTTTCTTGTCCTGGGTTCTGTGCAGATATAACCACACATCAGATGTAATGTGAATTGCTTTTAAGAGCCACCGATAAGCCTGTGCCCTCCCCCAAGGCACCAAAACCGACACAGCATAGTCAGAATCATTGGATCAGTTGTCAGCGAGTGAAGGAAGCAGGACAGCTTGGATCAGAGAGAATCACTTGCATGCCATATTCCACCACGTGGAAACGAACCATCACCAGTCTGAACAGGAAGTCCTGTGGCAGAGGGGAGGAGCCCCCTGTCTGGTTCCCAGCTCTGAGAGCCAGGAACACAGGCTGGGACCTCAATACTAATCTCTGTTGGCATGGCTGCTGATGGGGACCCTGCCATTCCCCCCAAAATGGACCACAGGGAAGGTTAATAACACCATGTGATAAAGCCTGGCATTCTATACATGCCCAGTGAACATGATGAGCCTGATGGGTCTCAGCCCAGCCCCCCTCTTGGATGGCAGATATTCCCAGGAAGGCAGAAAACCCAATCTTGCACGGCTGCCTTCTGAGAGCGACTGTTTAATTTCACGTCTGCAATGAGTGCAGACACTTGGGGCGAAAGAAGCTATTTCAAAAGTGAGCTGTGAAACGCTGAAATTAGAACCACGGGAGCTGGCAAAGGGGTGAGTTCTTAGGAAGTGTGGAGGGCGCCTGGCACACAGGTGGGTCCCTTGGTGGTGGAGGAACTGCCTGTGGCCGCCTGCAGCACTGGAGAAATCTTCACACTATCAAAGTTTCCCCGAACTGACTTCTAGACATCCGGCTGTTCTCCATGACTTCTACCCCAGCTCCCTGAATCCACGTGAGGGCTGATGGCTGGCCCATTCTATCCCTGATATTCTCAGAGGTTGCAGCAAAGTCCCAGGCAACAGGAAGACAAGAGTGCTCTGCCACTATCTCAGGCACTGTCCCCTTCTGCTTGGTCCGACTGACTCTTTGCTCATCCTCAATGCCACAGCCACAAGCCAGGGAACAGCTGGCTACCCACTGCAAAATCCTTCCCGCAGAATGGATGGATCAATTGATAGATCTCTTGATCGTCCACCGTGTCACCACAGGGAGCGTTCGTGGTTGCAGTTGTTGACTTATGGTACAGGTTCGTGATCTTAGCGGCATTCGGGGGGAGACCGTGAGAGAGGGCCAGTTAAGAGGGGACAGAGACTGCCTCAGTACTGGCCCTGCAACAGAGGAAGACTGCACAGTGCCTGTTCCCTTTCGACAGATCCACCGCCAGATCCCTCGCTTGCCGCCAAGTCGCCTGATTCCATGTGGCCCTGGGCACAGAGGAGCCAGTCCAGTTCAGAATTGCTCATCGCACAGAGGCGCGCCAACCCGATGCGGGCCCCTCCCAAACCAAAGCATTGATGCTCTGAGGTGCTGAGGCCTCCACCCCAGCTCTCAGGCAGACACTGAGGCTCAAGATGGAGACAAGGATTGGGACGGCTGCAGCCATTTCTAGTTCCACAAGGGGCTGCGGGGCAGGGACTCTGGTGCCAGGGAATCTGCCTCCAGGGGAGAATTACGGTGAAAACAACTCTGTCTCCTCTTGCCAGTCAGCAGCCGTCTTCCTCCATTAACGAGGAACATTTGGGCAGCTAAAGGAAGCTCTTAGGGAAGACTGAGGGGCTGGGGAAAGGTCACTACTATGAGATGTGTTGCTTTAAAACGGGCTGTCCCCCCACAGAGATGAACAGTGGGCTGGGGCCTCACCTCTCCTCCCAGTATAGAGGCAGCCTAAAGCCCGGTGGGGAGATGTGGTGGGAACACACCAGGCCTGTATGGGGGAGGGGGTGCTATAGTGGCCGCTCAAACACAGTCGCTCCTGCCCCCTGGAGTTTCTGTGCTAGCCCTCAGGATGGGGGAGCGCACTGCTTAAGCACCAGCTCCTAACAATGGATGTCCGGTGCTGGCTGTGTAGATGAAGATGCTGGTGTCCTAGCAACAGGACTGGCTACCCACTCACAGACATGGATGAGGGCCATCGCCTGCAGGGCTGCAGCCTTTGTCAGGGTCTGCCCCACAGGATGCCACCCAGAGAACAGAGGTGTCTCAGTATATTGGTGGCTGTGGGAGATCTGGGTACAAGCCAACCCTGGAGAGGGAACGCGATGCCCAGGGCAGATGCCCCATTCCGGGACAAGCATGGAAGGGAAGACTATGAAAGAGGGGTTCGCATGTGTGGTGATGTGACAGTGTTAGCTGTCGATTTGACAGAATCTAGAATCGCCCATGAGAGGGCCCCCAAGGGGTATCCGACAGGGACTGTCCTGGTGTAACTGAGGGGGGAAGACCTGCCTACTGCGGGTGGGGCCATTCCCTTTCGAGGATCCAGGAACTGCATAAAATGGAGAGAGGAAGCAGAGCTCAAGCAGTCAGGTTCCACTTGACATTCCCCGCTTGACTACAGATGATACGTGTAGCCAGCTCCTTTAAAATCTGCTATCGAGCCTTCCCCTCCACAGTGGACTGAGCTAAATAAACCCCCATCCCGTAAGTTGCTTTTGCCAAGATATTTTACCACAGCAACAGAAAAAGAAATGAAGGGCGCTGGGTGTTGGTGGCGCATGCCTTTAATCCCAGCATTCTCAAGGCAGAGGCAGGCAGATCTCTGAGTTTGAGACCAGCCTGGTCTACAGAGTGAGTTCCAGGACAGCCTCCAAAACAATTACAGAGAAACCCTGTCTCGAAAAACAAAACAAGAAAACAAAACAAAAAAACAAGAAATGAAGGGTGGTGATACCTGAGTACCACTGTCCACAGATACCCAGGCCAGCCCAAGGTTTCTGACCTCTCTGGTCCCAGGTAGGGCCCAACAGATCCTGCCTCAATCTCCTGAACTCTCCTCACTGACCTCAGTGTGCAGGCAGAGTAGTAGTCACTTTGCAGCCCTTGCTGCTGGACAGGCTGATACTTGCCTGGCTCTGGTCATCAGCTTTCTAACCCTGCATAGTAAGTTCTAAGGAATGCTTCTAACAGAACCCATTCAGAGGGGAGAGCATCTTTGGACAACAACCACCGCCTAGCTTAAAGAGATGTAGACACTTTAGTAGCTGCTTCCACCAAGAAATCAAGGCAGGCAGAGGGATGTTCATGAGACCACAGGGCATGTGTAAGAGGCCCTTTCCCACCGTTCTTTTAAGGGGGGTTGACTGCACGAGGCAGGGATGGAGGATGGGGGGGCTCTGCAGTAGAAGGGGGCTGACTGGATGAAGGACAGGACGGCTGAGCAGCAGACGGTCTGAATGAGGAGGAGGAGGTATCAAGAAAGAAGGCACCGCAGCAGAGCCCACAACCAGAGGAGCAAGGGGTCAAGGATGTCAGATGACTCCTAGAAGCAGCTGTGATCATATCCCCAAGCCTTGGCTACAGTAGCAGGCCCTGCTCCTGATTCCCCCAGGAGAGGGAGGGTGGGGTCATGCTCACCCACAGTTGGAATGCATATGGTATCCAAGCCATCGTCACTTCAGTTGCCTTTTCAATAGTGGTCTTCATGACCTTCAAGTTGTCCTGCAGGCATGGAGACAGCCGTGGGCCTAGCTCAGGAAGAGGAGACTACAAGCTGTCCATCCTCCCCACAATTCCAAGAGGCAGGACAGACCCAACTTGGTCAACTTAGGTGTAGACTCTGGGACTGAATTCTTGAGAAAGTCTTTTCAACAACTTTTATTAGCATATATTAACAGTCATTATACAACTTGTGGGTTTTGCAAACATTTCATTCGGGTTTACTATGTATTTTTTCCCATGTTTTACCCCATTTTCCTCTCCTGCCCCCGCAACATTCCCTTTTCTTGCTGAGCCCATTCCTTTTCCCCAGTAGTGCGCTTTCCACTTTCACATTTTTTGTGTCTGCACATACATGTGTATGTGCAGTACATGCATGCCTATATGTGTGCACACATATGTGCATATATGTATGTGCATGTGTGTTTGCATTGCAATGTGTATGTGCATAGATGTATGAGAATTGTTTTTGAGACAGGGTTTCTCTGTGTAGTCCTGGCTGTCCTGGAACTCACTTGGTAGACCAGGCTGGCCTCGAACTCACAGAGATCTGCCTCTGCCTCCCGAGTGCTGGGATTAAAGGCGGTGCCACCTCTACCTGTATGGTTGTGTGCAGGTGACACAGTTCTCATATGTGAGAGGCAATGTGATGCTTGTCTTTCTGGGTCAAGTTTATTTCATTTTACTAATGATTTACAGGTTCATTTTCCTGTGAGTGACATAATTTTGTTCTTTGTGGCCGAGAAGAACGCCGCTGTGTGAACACACCACATTTCCTTTTTCTAGTCATCTGCCAATTGGGCATCTAGGCTGGTCCATTATCTTGGCCACTGTAGACTGCCGTGGTGAACCTGAGTGGGCAGATGTCTCTGATAAGCTGACTTGGATTCCTTTGGGAAGTTCCCAGGAGGGGTGATGTCTGGGTCACGTGGTAGCAGCTTCTTCATTTGTCAGATGGGGACAGTAAGGATTCCTGGGGTGTTTGCCAAGACTGACCCCTGCAGAGCCTGTCCCTTGGTCCTTGCTAGTCACTTGAATGAGATGCAAACAGCACCCCTATCCTAGTGGAGACTGGAGAAGTGTGTGACCTGCAACTTTGGTGCTCTTTTTTTGAGACAGGCTATCACAAGGTAGCTCAGGCTAGCCTTGAACTCACAATCTTCTGTCACCACTTTTGGAGAACTGGGATGGCAGGTGTGGACTCCCACAACTAGCTCTGTGGCTGAAGCTCTGCAACCCATGGTGCACCCCTATAAACAGGAACGCTGCTCTCAAGACTGAGGCGGCTCTCTCCTGACTGAGCAAACCCTGGAAGGGGGAGGAGGGCTGAGTCCCTGTCACACCCTGGGGACAGTTCTGAATCAACTGCAGTGCCCATCACGGTAAATAGTAGAGACATGCATAAATGCCTTTATTGATCTGAAAGGTCTTAACAGCTCCTGCGATCATTTTTAAGCTTCTGCCTGTGAAGAACTTGCTGTGAGAGGTAATTACTGCCCCTTCGTTCTGCCGTGGTTCCCGAAAGCTGTCCTGCATTCAGAAGGCTAGGGGACGGCAACATCTGTGATCTGGCGGGGCTCTCTAGGGTCACTTCAGATCATTCTGCGAAGGGACACATCTCTCTAGGAAGTCGTGCAGTAGAAATGTAAACGTCTTATGCTTTTCCAGTGACTCAGAGCCCGCTCTGGTGACTCCAGGGTAGAGAGCTTGCTTTTCAAGACACAGGTCTGGAAAGCTGAGCCCCCAACTTCGAAAGCAGGTTGCCTGTGGGACTGGGGGGGGGTCACACCTAGAGCTGATGGTGGCTGCCCCACTGGCCCTGCAGCCCCCACCCCTCACCATACTCCATATTCCTTCCAGCGTACTGGAGTCCAGTGACAAAAAACAGGCTTGGTGTGTTCAGATGGGAAGTGTAGGATCCAGGCACAGGAAGATGACCTCGATCATGCTTCAGGATGGAAGGGACTCCTTGGCCCAGCACCAATCAAGCTGACCTTCAGGAAGACAATGGCCTCACTTCCCTTGCTGTGACTCAGGAGTCATTTCCTGTCCTTGCGGGTGGTGTGGGAGAAACAGTGCTTCCAGAGGGACAGGTCTCCTGGAGACAGTCCCTCTCCATACTACTAGCCTGAGGAGCTGGAAATGGCGGTACCCCAAAGCCCTGTTCAGGACTCCAGGGACCTCAGGCAAGGAGAATGGTTCCCACTGATGACAATCCAGCCAGCCCGGCCCTGCCTAGGCGGTTTGCCTTCCTTGAAGCTCCCAGTAAGAAAAGGGATCCTAGAAGACACATGAGACTGTTTGAGGAGACAGCCCGGGCAGCAGCAGCTGAAACTTGTTCTCTGCAATTTTGGTCTCTAAATTTCTGCTGCTACCGTTTTCCCTGTGAAACCACTTCCTCAGCAGAGAGTTCTGGGCGCTGATGTCTTTGTCCTCAGTCTCTTCCTCAGGCTAAATATATCCGAGCTAATCCGAACAGAGCCTCAGTGTAAAAAGCAGATGGTGGTGACTGGGCACCCTCCCACCCCAGGGGTGAAGCTGGTCACCTTCACACACACATGTCAAGACTGACATACTATCTAGGGACCAGCTGAGGTTAGGCTACTGGCTGGCTGGAGGATGTAGTCTGAGGACATAGGGTTTTTTCTTCCTGTGTTGGGTCCCACCAGTCACAGACTGGATGGAGGCCAGCACCCGCCATCAAGTTGCACGCCAGTGCCATTAAATGAACTCAGGGATCCACGTGGTCCTGGGAACATTCACAGGACATCGTGGGGAAGCTCCCCTCCACCCCACCCTTCAACCCCAAGTCCCTGCCTCCTCCGCCCCTCACAAGGTGGTGAGTGGCCAGCCCATCTATGAGGCTCACAGGAGCAAGGACTGGAAATGGGAGCTCTGAGCCAGGATCTGTCCCTGGTAGACCCTGTTCAGGTTTTGATAGGGGAAGGCCACCAAGACATACAATAAAAATGGCAAAACCAAACCCCTCAAAGAACAAGCAGATCAACCAAAGTAACACGTGATAACATTCCCCAAGATAAGAGGAACACGCCCTCACCTGCAGAAAGAACAAACGGCATGTCTGCACACCAGCTATACTCCGAGAGCCAGCTCTGCCATTCCGACTGCTGACCTGCTCCCCCAGGCTGCATTTTCTCCATGCCCCTTCCCATCTTTTAGCATTTGAGCTCTTTGAGTGACTCTTCACTATTTAAAATTACTCTGGGAGAAAGACGTGGTGATTGTCTCTCAGGGAGTCTGAGGACAAGGCCATGTGTAGAGAGCAGCCACAAGCCCCCAGCAGGTGAACCAAGGAGTCACACTTGGACTGTGACAGTCAAAGACAACACAGGCTGAAGCCTGGAGGCAGCAACAGACGTGGGTGGGGTTGGCCCTCGGCAGGCCAAGGGAAATCTAATTTGTCTTGGTTAATCAGAGGAGACCTGTGTCTCCCTAGAGACCCTGGCTCCTGATTTGACAAGGTGATCTATTAGTACCAAGCCTGAAAGGTCACCAGCTCAGAAGTGCGGTCACTGCTGGTCCTAGACGGAGCCCCAGAGGACCCTGGGAGGAAACCTTGGCAGCCCTCCTCTGGGCACAGCTGCGGTGGTGCACTTTATCTAAAAGGCTCCATGGATTGTCTCTAAGGGGAAAACATCCATTTTCTTCTCTGTGAGGGGTAGCCCCACTGGGGCTCACATCCGCCACTCGATGGCTAAGCCTGGCTGAACTACTCCTTCCCAAGCTTCAGTGTCCCTACCCTTGCCTCTTCCCTGATCCAGGACTCTGTGGGTGAACACACAGCTCCCACTTGGCAATTTCTGACACAGCTGGAGACTCCCTGATGCACTGACCACAGGTCTCTGGAACGAAGCCATTTGAACATGGTAGAGCCTTTCCCTCTAGCCTCTGTCTTACATACTCTATTGGGAAAAGCGCCTTGAAACTTGGTCTTGTGCCCCCATGAAATCACAGCAGGGCTTTACACCTTTCCACGATGCCATTGTACTCAGTGCCTTACGTGTTGCCTGGGACCACAGACTAGTGCTAGGTTCTACTGACTGGGCCCCAAGCGGTAGGGGACTAAGAGGCCACACTGGTATTTAAATAACCCTCTGCCATCATTCGGTGGTAAAAGTATAGGCTGCCCGCAGCACCTGGACCCAGGCCTCACCAACGCACCTTTACTCCCCTCCAAGCATCCGGAGAGCTGGCTCAGGCCACAGCAGCCTCTGCCAGGGCTGGGGCACTCCTTGGGTGCTTCAGTCTCTTTGGGGTTCTCATGCCTCCTAAGGACAGATCTGCACTATGGCCAGATCAATGGTCCCCCAGGGATACTGGCTTTGACTATTTATTGGGGTGGGGGCAGATTCAGTACTAGGTGCCTCGTTGCCTTGTTCACCTTGTCAAAGGGAGTCAACGCTCTGGCAGCAACAGCAAACACTGGTCATACAGCGCATTAAACCCACACTCCAAATTGATGCATCCATCTGTCAGGGCCGAGGCTGGAAGAACTCAAGGATGGAATGGAGCAGCCTGGAACGGGGTCTGCAGCTGCAGCTCCACTCCGAGTCTGCTTTCTGCTGCGGCTGACAAATGCTCAGTGACAGAAACTCACGCTCGCGTGGGACTTGTCAGCACACATGAGTTTGCCAGCACGGTAACTCCTGTAACCTTTCCTCCTCTTAACTTTGGCCAGGACAACATGCATAAACAGGAAACCTCTTCTTTTGTGTTTGGGGGAGAGACACACCTGACTTCAACTTAAGCCCCAGTTGACTATCTGACGTCAAAGCCTCACACAATAGTGTTTGAAGTTCAGGACCGGCAGTGGGCCCTCTGACACACACACCAAGCTGTAAAGGGACAAGTCACGCTCCTGAAGCTTCGGCGTCCAGACAGACTGCGGCGCCCTCTTACCTTGAAAGTCGATGCAGATTCCGGATTGGCAAGAACCAGAGGTGAGATCAGGACCATGCCAGAGAAGTGGGTTGGTCTCTCCGCAGCTGCGAGGATGGAGATGGCACCGCCCTGCAAGGCAAAACAGACAAGAGTGGCACCGGCTTCCAGCCAGAGTGACCCGACTCCCTCACCTGTTCCCATGCTGGCCAAGAGCCCACGTGGGGACCCGGGACAGACTCTATCCACTGGTAGATCACCCTTCTTTCCTCTTTTCCTTCCTGTCTCTCTCCCTCGCTTCTTCCTTTCCTGCCTTCCCCTTTCTCCACTCCTTCCTCTCCTCTCCTCTCTCCCTGTCCCTTCCCCCTCCCTTTATTTTATTTTATTGAGACAGAGTCTTACTCCACAGCCCAGGACAGCCAGAGAATCATGACAATTGTGTCTCAGCTCCCTGAGCACTAAGATTACAGGAGTGAGCCACCGGGCCTGGCTCTGTAGGGTTTTTATTGCACATTTCTCCTCTCTGGGTTTTTCAAGGGCAAACATTTCAGACAGATACGAAGAAGGTTCTGGCTTGTGGGTCACAAATGTAACAACACATTGCTTTCTAGTCTTAAACCCAAAGTTAGCAGACCCACACTTCATCTATTCTGACAAGCTTCAAATGAGTTGTTTCCTTTCTTTAGGGGAGAGTTCAATTATAGTAATAGATGTGTGTGTATATGTGTGTGTTTAGTAATGATTCCAAACTTTAAGTCCCAGGAATAATAATCAGTACTGAGTGAACGTGGATGGAGCAGGAGGAGAGGAGGAAGGAGTAGCAGAGGCAGTCTTGTCCATCTGAAGCCCAGAGGAAACTGACAGCAAGACTTGCAATCTCTAGCATTTACAGGGACCAGGCAGGCAAGAGAAAGGTAGAGCCAGGCAGTGAGGAGGTGTCCTGGGACCCAGTCCTGGGACCCTCCCTGGGTCCAAGCAGGTCTCAGCCCTCTGCTGTTAGCCAGCTGGCTTTCCCGCTGGAAGGAATGGCCTGTGGTTGCTGGGGAGGGGTCATCTGAGATTAAACTCGGTTTCTGGAGCTGAGAGTTCTCACAGGGAAAGGGACTTAAACTGCTTTCAGGGCTGTTTCATGAGATGTTCCCATTCGCTGCCATCTCTCCAGCCCTGAGCATGAGGTATGGACTCCAGGACCTAGTTAACTCCTAAGTGCTGGGGGTGCGGGGGACTCCACAGACAGGGTGTGTGACTCCATCCATGTAGAAGCTAGAGGCAGAGGCACAGGAGGTCAGGCGGTCTTCTGGGGACACGGCTTGCTTTGAACTCCTCTCTGTGGCCTGCTTACCATGGAGTGGCCCAGGAGGAAGACAGGGACCTCAGGGTAGTCCTTCTGAATGGTGTCCACATGCTGCAGTACATCTCTTACAAAAACCTGGAAGTCCGATACCACCATCCTCTCTCCTTCACTCTGCCCATGGCCAACTGGAGAGAAACAGGAAGCGAGTTTTAGTGTCACCCTAGAATGCCACACGCACATCACAATCTAATCCTGTCTAATCACTCCGCTCCCTGTAAGCACAGAGAGCTTAAGGAACTTGCCTCATAGCGCACAGCTAGGAACGCCAGCTACCACCATTCCTTGGAGACAGTTTTCCAAGGAAGGAGGACGGGGCAGGAGGCACACAGAGCGTACCTTAATGAGGCTCAGCTATTTTCCTGCGTCCCCAGCTCCTTGACGATTGAGCCGTGCCTCACTGGTGACCTATGACCAGGTGTGTTCTGTCTCCTCTCTGCAGCATCAGGAGACCACACATCAAATCAAACAAGATGGTCAAGGGGACTTGACAAGGATCTCAACAGCGATAAAGCCAGAGCCCATCCCCTCCCTTTTGGGTTTGTCAACCCGTCACCTATCTGTGCACTGCATCTCCCCTTTCCTCTCTATTTAGGGTCTGCATCTTTCCCTGGTGGGGAAGGGCATCTGTTGCTATAGAAACGGCTGCTGGCAGCTGTGGGGAAAGTTTGGAAACTGTAAAATGAACCAGCTTCCAGAGAAGGCGCCAGCACAGGAGGCCCCTGGCTGCATCAGGCTGCCAGGAGCTGGCAGTGTTGCTCACAGAGCCGGGGCCACCTCTTCAAAGGGACTTTGCAACTGTGGGACAAAACCACTCTTTCCACAGCACAAGTGGGGAGAGGCTGTTCAGGCCCCCACACAGAGACTCTGCTACGGTCAGGTCAGACTCCTATCGGCCACTGATGTCCCTACCTTCCCAGCTGCTTTTCTGCCAGTGTGCCTGGACAACAAACAGTCTTGACATCTTCAGAGGAAGGCTTCCAAGTCCCATGCCTGTCTAGGCTGCCCCCTTTTAAAAATGCATTACATCTGCGGTGAGTGTGTGTCACGGAAGTTGCACCACACCAACCATCTCTCACCGGCTCAGTGGCATTGAGGGTGTTCATAGCATTCTGAGCCACTATTTACCACCAGGGCACTGCCATCTTTCTAATGGCCTTTGTATGGCCTCCAGCGTCCCTCCCTTCCCTCGCTGAAGGCCTAACTCTAAGAGCGGTCCTATGTTTGCAGATGAGAGCTTTAAAAGGTGATCAAGTTAAAATGGCGTGACTGATGTCCTCATAAGAGGAAATGTCGACACACGGAGGGGCAATCATGACAGCGAGACGGTGCCTGCAAGCTGAGAAGGAAGGCCCCGGGAGAGGCCATGCCGTCACCTTGGATTTCTTTTTCTAGTTTTCAAGACATTTTTCATTTTACATACCAACCCCAGTTCCCCCTCCCTCCCCTCCCCACCCTATCCACTCCTCAGAGGGGGTAAGGCCTTCCCAAGATTTTATTTGATTCATTCTCTCCTCTCTCTCTCTCTCTCTCTCTCTCTCTCTCTCTCTCTCTCTCTCTCTCTCTCTCTGTTGCACACTTGCATGCAGATGCCTTGCAGTTCAGAAGGGGGCATCAGATCACCTTAGAGTTGGAGTTACAGGCAGTTGTGACCCGCCCAACAAGGGCGCTGCTACCTAAACCTAGGTCCTCTGCAAGAACAGCCAGCGTTGTCAATCACTGAGCCACCTCTCCAGCTCCCTTAGTTTTTATTTTGAGGCAGGGTCTCACCAAACTGCTGGCTTTGAACCCACTCTATGGCCTAAACAGTCCTTGAACATGTGATTTTCCTGCCTTGCCCTTCCAAGCAGCTGGAAATAGGGGCATGAACCTCCTAGTCCAGTCTTTGCTGTGTTTTCTATGTCCAGGCCTTAAATAATGTACTCCATTCACTCACATTCATTTTTAAGGCAAACAGTCGCCCTTCAAAAGATCAGTCTCGTGATTCACAAATTAAAGCTACACGAAGTGGTGAACATGGAACAGGCTCCTCTCAGCCCCACCATCTTCCCCTAAACTTTAGCACTTCTGTCCCTCTGCAGACGCAAGTGCTGTCTAAAGCCCTCGTTCTTCACAGGGGGAGCCCCAGGAAACCACCTGCAGCTTTCCAAAGAAAGCTAGTCTTGAGGTGATGCTCCTACCCAACCCTTTCCTCAACTTTTCTGTCAAATGTCAAAGTTCAAATGTATAAAAACTTCAGAAGAATATTTCCATAAATATTCACATTTCCACAATCTTTACCCAGAAGTTGTCGTCATTTTACTTTCTGTCTACATACATGCGACGACGATTAACACTACTGTCAATTTAGAACCACTGTGGAGATGGGCCTGGGGTGTGACTGTGGGGGGTTGGTTGTCTTGGTTACATTCATAGGTCCCATCTTAACTCTGGGTGAGGTATTCCCTAGGCATGGGATCCTGGGCCGAATCAAATGGCGAAAGCAAGCTGAGCAGCAGACGAACATGTCCACTGCTCTCAGCTTCGGGAGGCAGATGTGTCGAGGCCAGCGGTGTCAGCTTCCTGCTTCCTTGCCCCTCCCCCCACAAGGAACTGCCACCTGGAACTGTCCCCCCAGAGTGTTTTATCAGAGAAACAGGAAAAGAAGCTTAGGCACAAACTTACAAATGAAAGATGGTTGGGTCGTTCAAAACTAAGTTACAGATTTTAACAGCTGGGAAATCTGGATAATGACGTCAACACCTTTGACCTCCAGACCTAGCCTCGAACCTTCAGGCTTTTTGTCTTTCATATCTGGGTTTGTATTCCTTCCACATGAATCCACCCACGTGAAGCCCAGTGGCTCAGCAACGTTTACAAAAATGCAATACTCTACAGGGTACAATCAACAACTCTTAGTCCCAACACCCCCTTCTCAGTCATCCCAGAAGAAGGCACAAGAGAGACTTCTCTCCCTTCCTAGATTGTGATGTCACCTTGATGTTCTTGTTCCATTTTAAGCCAGCCTATTTCTTGATTTTATTTGTTTTCAGTATTGAGAGCTGAACCCAGAAGGGCATTGCTCTCCTACAGGTCCACACTCAATGCCCTACTTACATTTATTTTACAGATTGGTGGGGTTTGTGCACGTGAATACGGGCGCCTGAAGAGGTTAGATGCATCAGATCCCCTGGAACTTGAGCCATGGGCAGTTGTGAACTGTTTGACATGGGGGCTAGGAACTGAACCCAGGCCTTCTGCAAGAAACTGCCTCTCCAGCACCCCCACTCCCCTTTAAAATGTTTTTAAAGATTTAAATTTATTATTAGTTTTTATTTTTGCACACATGAGCATTTGCCTGTGTGTATGTCTGTGCACCTAGTAAGTGCCTGGTGCCAGTGGAGGCCAGAAGACGGCATCGTATTCCTGGAACTTCGATTACAGGTGATTGTGACCATCATGTGGGTTCTGGGAATAGAACCAAGGTCCTCAGCAAGGTCCTCTTAACTGCTGAGTCATCTCCCCACACTTCCCCCACTGCTTAAATCTTTTTTTAAAGACAACCCTCACTAAGATGCTCAGGCTGGACTTGAACTCGGTCCCTCCGCTTTATCCTCCCCAGCAGTCGGGACTGCAAGCCTGCACCACCACACTCAGTGTGCACGCGGCTTCTGGATTTCGCTCAGTTCCCCTGATGTGCTCATAAGCTACTCTGTCACTGTTATCTCCGTCCTCCACCCAGCAGAGCTCACATCCCGCGGTCCCTCTAAGTCATCCCGTCTCCCAACAAGGCTGGCTTTAGCTTTGTGCTCCCGTCCATCCCACCTTCCCCAACCCTCTGGTTACTGGACTCCAGTCTCCCAAGTCAGCCTCCATGTGACTTGCAGGGTTGAGAGCAAGGATGTGTTTCTTGCTCTAAGCTACCTGTGTCTGTTCCCTCCATTTCTCAACCAGCTTCAATGAGGGGTGCCTCCTGTGCTCTCACGTCTCCCTTCCCCTCAGAACACGCTCCTCATGTTCCAGAACAGCATTCTTGACTCTGCTGATGGCTCCCACTGGCCCTATGTCCTGCTAGCCAGCACATTCCAAGCCACCTGCCTACAGTCCCGAGACATGCCCACACTTTCCTGCCCCACCCCCCTCTGGTCAGGCCACCCACTGGTCTTGTCATCCAGGCCAGAGACTAAGCTCTTTGAGGTTATATTTGCTGGCACCCTTCTTAAGAAGAAAGAGCAAACACTGCCCACCCATCCACTGCTCAGGGTCTGCACAGCCCTGGCAGTGGACAGGTATGTGATGGACATTCGAAGCACTGTAGGAAGAGAGCAGTAATGGCTCCTTGCCAGAGAGATTCCGCTAATGCGTCTCCCTTAACTGCCCTGTGAACAGATCCTTCTGGGCAGCCGGCTCTGCACTGCTGCAATAAGGACTCCTAGCCTGAGCTTCAGCCATCCTCCAGGATCACAGATGCAGCCACCACACCCAGCTCAACTATGCTTGTCATTTTCCTTTATCATTTATGTATTTGCAGGCTTTGCTTATCCTGGAGGGCTTGGCCCTGTCCCTTCCAGGACTGGCTGTTGCTGGAAAGGTAACCAATTGCTTGTGAGCTAGCCTTTAAAATGCACCGGCCTGCAGGAAACCACACCCACAGCCACCACCACCCTCCCTCTAGTCATCTGTCAGCAAGGAGTCAGTTAGGGACAGCCCCCCACCCAGCAGCCTTGAAGTTATCCCAGTCAGCCCATCCGAACCCTGCGCACCCTGGTCCAGCCCACTCTGTGGAGGCCACAGAGGGAGCTCCCTGTGGTTTCCCCTGGCTCCCTCTGCCATCTGGCTTCCTGTGGGACCCTACATGGCACACATGGGTGTTAGGCCTGTGTGCTGGGAGGGATTGTGAACTACTTTCCATATGCTTGTGTGCAAACAAAGCTCACCAGCTCAAGCCCTGACCAGAAAGCCAATCACCCTGTCAGTGCCAGAGTAGGGAAGACAACGCCGCAACTCTGTCTTTTCAGAGAACAGGTTCTACCTAGCATGCCATTTCTCCCAGAAGGAAAACCTGGTGAAGACAGCCCCAGCGTGGGAGGGAAGACCCAACACCCCAGAAGCACCTGAGATTTGTCGGGGAGTCTAGGATTCAGTTTTC